ACAAAACCGGCCCCAGGACCGACCCTTGGGGCACTCTGCTTGATGGAGATATCCCATATCCCATCCCATCTCCTAGAACTGGAAGGGACCTTGAAAGGTCATCGAGTCCAGCCCCCTGCCTTCACTAGCAGGACCAAGTACTGATTTTGCCCCAGATCCCTAAGTGGCCCCCTCAAGGATTGAACTCACAACCCTGGGTTTAGCAGGCCAATGCTCAAACCACTGAGCTATCCCTCCCCCCTGGTGATACTGGCTGCCAACTAGACATGGAGCCATTGATCACTACCAGTTGAGCCCGACAATCTAGCTAGCTTTCTATCCACCTTATAGTCCATTTATCCAGCCCATACTTCTTTAACTTGCTGGCAGGAATACTGTGGGAGACCGTATCAAAAGCTTTGCTAAAGTCAAGGAATAACCCATCCACTGCTTTTCCCTCATCCACAGAGCCAGTTATCTCATCATAGAAGGCAATTAGGTTAGTCAGGCATGACTTGCCCTTGGTGAATCCATGCTGACTGTTCCTGATAACTTAAGTGCATCAGAACTGATTCCTTGAAGACCTGATCTATGATTTTTCCAGGGACTGAGGTGAGGCTGACTGGCCTGTAGTTCCCTGGATCCTCCTCCTTCCCTTTTTTAAAGATGGGCACTACATTAGCCTTTTTCCAGTCATCCAGGACCTCCCCGGATCACCATGAGTTTTCAAAGATAATGGCCAATGGCTCTGCAATCACATCCACCAACTCCTTTAGCATCCTCGGATGCAGCACATCCAGCCCCATGGACTTCTGCTCGTCCAGGTTTTCTAAATAGTCCTGAACCACTTCTTTCTCCACAGAGGGCTGGTCACCTCCTCCCCATGCTGTGGTGCCCAGTGCAGTAGTCTGGGAGCTGACCTTGTTCGTGAAGACGGGCAAAAAAAGCATTGAGTACACTAGCTTTTTCCACATCCTCTGTCACTAGGTTGCCTCCCTCATTCAGGAAGGAGCCCTCACTTTCCTTGACTTTCTTCTTGTTACTCTTAACATCCCTTGGTAGCTGCAACTCCAAGTATGAGTTGGCCTTCCTGATTTCACTCTTGCATGCCTGAGCAATATTTTTATACTCCTCCCTGGTCATTTGTCCAATGTTCCATTTCTTGTAAGCTTCTTTTTTGTGTTTAAGATCAGCAAGGATTTCACTGTTAAACCAAGCTGGTCGCCTGCCATATTTACTATTCTTTCTACACATCGGGATGGTTTGTTCCTGCAACCGCAATAAGGATTCTTTAAAATACAGCCAGCTCTCCTGGACTCCTTTCCCCCTCATGTTATTCTCCCAGGGGATCCTGCCCATCAGTTCCCTGAGGGAGTCAAAGTCTGCTTTTCTGAAGTCCAGGGTCCGTATTCTGCTGCTCTCCTTTCTTCCTTGTGTTAGGATCCTGAACTTGACCATCTCATGGTCACTGCCTCCCAGGTTCCCATCCACTTTTGCTTCCCCTACTAATTCTTCCCAGTTTGTAAGCAGCAGGTCAAGAAGAGCTCTGCCCCTAGTTGGTTCCTCCAGCACTTGCACCAGGAAATTGTCCCCTACACTTTCCAAAAACTTCCTAGATTGTCTGTGCACCACTGTATTGCTCTCCCAGCAGATTTCAGGGTGATTGAAGTCTCCCATGAGAACCAGGGCCTGTGATCTAGTAACGTCTGTTAGTTGCCGGAAGAAAGCCTCATCCCCCTCATTCCCTGGTCTGGTGATCTATAGCAGACTCCCACCATGACATCACCTTTGTTGCTCACACTTCTAAACTTAATCCAGAGACTCTCAGGGTTTTTCTGCAGTTTCATACCAGAGCTAGGGTGACTAGATCAGAGAGATAAAATATCGGGACGCGGGGGCGAGCAAAAAAAAAAGCAGTTTCGCTGCACACGGAGGGCCCGGGGCCGGGAGCACAGCGCGGAGGCGTGGGCCGAATCCCTGCTGCTGCCGGGGGAGCTCCGCGCCTCTCCCTCCCGCTCTCGGCTGCGCTGCGCTGCGCTGCGCTCCAGCAGCTGCGGCTCCTTCCCAGCCGCACGCGGAGCCTCCCACCCCTTGAGCACATGCGGTGTACGTCCCGCCGCCGGCGGGGAGCCCTGCGCCTCTCCTGCTCGGCTGCGCTCCAGTGGCTCCTTCCCAGCGGGCGCTCCTCCGGGAAGGAGCAGCTGGAACACAGCCGAGAGCGGGAGGGAGGCGCGGGGCTCCCTGGGACGCATGCCGCATGTGCCTGGGGTGGGCGGCGCGTCCCGCCGGGAAGGCGTCGCAGCCACTGGAGCGCAGCGCAGCCAAGAGCAGGAGGGAGAGGCGCGAGGCTCCCTGGCAGCAGGGGGGATTCAGGCCGTGCTGCCCACCCAGCCCCTGCCCGCTCCGCGCTGCCCTGCGGGCTGCAGGGCTGGAGCATCCTCCGTGCTGTGCTCCCAGCCCTCTGTGTGCAGCGGCCCGGGGGCCGGGCAGGAGCCCTCTGGCACAGCGGGGGGGCTCAGAGCTGAGCCCCCCCGTCTCCCTCCCTCCCTTGCCAGCCCCCCTTTGCCCGCCCGCCCGGTGCCCGGGTGCCGGAGCTGACTCATCAGCTCCAGGATCCAGGCGCCGCCCCGCCACCCCCTCCCTCCAGGCTTGCACCGCCATGCAGCTGCAAGCCTGGGAGGGAGAAGGAATGCTGCGTGGTTGAGGAAGAGGTGGGGCCAGGGCGGAGATTTGGGGAGGGAGCCAATGGGGGAAGGAAGGGCCGGGGCGGGGGGGGGTGAGAGTCCCTCCGGGAGGGCAAAATTTCTTGTTTGACCAGTGTCCCGACCAAACATCAGTCAGGACATGGGACAAAGAAGCAAATATCGGGACAGTCCCGATAAAATCGGGATGTCTGGGTCATCCTAACCGGAGCTCTGACCAGTCATACTGCTCTCTTACATACAAGGCAACTCCCCCACCTTTTCTGCCCTGCCTGTCCTTCCTGAACAGTTTATATTCATCCATGACAGTACTCCCCCTTCTAGGGGGAGAATTGCAACTGGGTCCCACACATCACAGGTGAATACTCTAACCATTGGAATAAAAATTATAAGGTAGGCACCGCCTCCTCTGGCGATTTTGTGTGGAGTGAGGCAGGCGCTGAATTCATTCCTGCAAGAAATCACTTAAGTTCCTAAGATGCCTGACTCCAGGCAGTGGGTTCCCATTCGTGGATTGCTAAGCAGAGAGAGACACCTATCTCCGGGAAAGGGGCAGGGCTTAGTACACAACCTTGTCCATGGCATCTCCCACTGGCTAGCTCAGGCAGCTCCTTGCCTGGCATTCTGGCTTTTGTGGACAGTGTTCTGAGGTGCCTCTCTCTTTCCATTCATTGTATAGGGAGCCTAGGTGCCTACTTCAGCTTTGTGGATTGCAGAGTTGTTCCTGTAATTTTCTAAGCACCTAAACGTTCAGCACTGTTCCGTTACTCTCAATGTTGTAACAACTGAGTCGCTTTGTGGACCCCACCTTCAGTGTCCGGAAGTACACAAAGTATTACAGAATCTGCAATCTGACTCTAGAGCTGTAGTTAGCACAATCCCCAGGGGATACTCTGAAGTTCTGGGGCTGGCATCAACAATATTTCCTAAATCATTTGTTTTGAGAGTTTCTAGGCCATTCAAATGTTGTCATTTTAGCCCACATGTTGGTCTTATGCATCATGTTTCATCTTCCAGTCACCTACAAGTCATCTATCTAATGTTAGTATTTTTTTAAAAAATCAGTGACGAAAGTCTTGGTTGTTTGAATTCCATAACTGCTTTTAAAAGTTGTTTGAAAACCAGTTAGTGTGGCTTGCCAGACCTTTTGGGTTTTTGGGGAGAGAAATTGTGAAGAAGAGAACTCAAGCAACTCTTCTATGTAACATTAACCAAGGGCTGGGACAGAACTCCATCTCTTCTGTCTGATGGGTATGTTGTTGTTGTTGTTTGTCAATACAATGAATTTCTGGTCTGGGCAAAAGTGATTTTCTTTTTTTTTTTTTTTAATTTGCCCTTTCTGCTTATGAAAAGCTGCTTTCTATTTTCAACAAAAAATAGAGGGGAAAATTAAAGAGGCTTAATAGGTCAGCTGACACTGTGATTGGTGGGTAGTGGGTGAAGGCATATGTGTTGGAAAAAAAATTTCAGGCTGCTTTTTCTTAAAAAGCAAGGATCAGTCTTTTCTCCTTTACCCTACCACCACCCCAGTGGAGTAGTGCCAGTTGTAACTGGGGAGAATTTGGTGCCAAATATCTATTGGACTATATATAATATTTGTCTTTGTATTGTCTGAGTTTATTACCCAAAGAATATGATCCTCTCTCTCATTGGTGTCAAGGAGAATAATCTGGACCTCCTCGCCAATTTTTTCAAAGCATGACATATGGTGCAAGAGTGGGCAGAAGGTGATGGCTTGCTTATTTTTTCCCAAGGTTAAAAGCAAAATCAAAGCAACAAGTAGGCTAGAGTAAACAAACAAAGCACATAAAAAAGCAAATAGGAAAAGGTTAAACAATAAATTAAAACAGTTTTGTTGGACACCCCCCTCTCCTCTGACTGGAGCCTGTGTGTGTCCCCTACCCATGGTGCTTTACCGCAGGCAGCGTGGGCCGAGCAGCCCCCCGGGCTCTAAGGAGAGAGCAGCACGTACACAGCGGCCTGCAGCGGCCAGGCCTTAGCGTGTAACGCCCGGGCAGGGGGCCCAGAGGAGAGAACCCAGAGAGCCGGGGCTGGAAAGGGCTGTGCTCAGGGGCTTTCTCCCCACGACAATGTGGGGCCCTGGGGCTAACCACGTGCTAGCGATGGGGCCGCGCTGCTGGAGGCGGCGCCGCGAACCGCCCGGCCCCTGAGGTACAATCGCACCCGGGCAGCCTGTGGTTGGAGCCCCGGGAGCCCTGAGCGCACACAACCCTCCGCCCCCCACGGCAGCCCGGCGTCCGCCCACGCCCCTGCCCGCCATTGGGCCCTGTGCCGGGAGCCCCTCCCCAAGCGGGGCGGCAGCCGGGCCCGGGCCGCGCTGGGTGCAGCATGGCAGGGGAGCCGCGCAGCCCGCCGGTGAAGGTGCTGGCCGCCCAGCTGAGGCAGTGCCGGCGGGCCGCGGGCGGGCCCTGGCTGCTGGGACGGGAGGAGGCCGGGAAGGGCCCGCTGGCGGTGCCGGTGGTGTGGATGCAGGGCACGGTGCTGGCGGTGGAGGCCGGGGGCGCCCGGGGCGGCTCGGCCCGGCTGCAGGACGAGAGCGGCCCCTTCACGGTGCTGGGGGTGGAGCGGGTCCCCAAAGGGCGGCCGTGCCTCAGCGCAGGTACCTCCGCGGGGGAGGGCGGAGTGTGGGGGACCCGCATAGAGGGTGTGTGCTCCCGCCCCGAGGGGCCAAACAGTCCGGCGGGAGGGGCCCCCCCATGTCCACTGCCATTGTGGGGGGAGCTGCGCCTGCCCCGTGGGGTCCCCCACACCAACTGCCACCAGGAGGACCCCCCAGCTCCTTCAGGGGGAGGAGCCCTGCTCCTCCTGTCCCATGGGGAACCCCCCACACAGGGGAGCCCTACTGTTCCTGCCCTATGGGGACCCCCAGACACAACGAGGGGCTTACTGCTCCCATTCCTTGGTGGGTACTCCCCCACATGCTGGAAGCCCTCCTGTATTTGCCTTGTGGGGTTCCCTGCGCACACACACACCTGGGAGGGTCTACTCTTCCCACCCCAGGGGTTTCAGTCCTACTATTCACACGCATACACACAGCGACTCACTACATGCATGCAAGAGGGTTATATTGCAGAGGATAGGCAACCTGGAAAGATGTTTATGCCAGATGCTTTCAGGCTCAGATCTTCAGTGCACATAATCATATCTCCAACATTTCGGGAGGGTAAAGTATGCCTCAGGACTAGGAGGCCCTGGCAGCGCAGGTGTGTGCTGCCCCCTTGGTGGGGGTTGGATGCTGCCCCAGTGTGGGGAGACCCTGGTTGGGGCATTACAAAATGAGCCTGTACCACGCTCAGCACACAACAGCAGGTCCTGATGAGGCTCAGCTATCTGCTCCAGGCACTGCAACCTGGCCCCTGGCGCACAGGGTCACGTTGCACATCACGGCTCAGGATTGGCCTGGCTGCCCCCAAACTTGTATGAATGGTGCTGTTACCTGTCACACATGGTCATAGTGCCATTCTAATTTCGCACAGTCAGAGGGCCAACCACACCTGAGCATCACTGCAACCCTGTGTGTCAGGTGCCAGGTTATAACACCTGGAGCATGAAGCCAAGCCCAGCTAGCCCCATGAGACAGAAGCATCTTCATCAGGACAGGAGGTTTTGGGGTCAAAAAGTCCTGCAAAAGTTGGGACTGCTGGGAGGTATGTATAATTGTTGCATGGGGGCAGGAATTTCTTCCTGATTCCCACCTGGTGATCAGTTTATGCTTTGAAGCAGGAGGATGTAATAGTCCACCATATATGAGCTAGTGGGACTGCAGATGCTGTTCTTACTCATACAAATACCTAATCCTTTTTCTTAAATGTGTGGCCTAATTTTGTGACATGGTAAGAATTCTCAGCTCTTCACACTATCAAGCCTTTGATGACTCTTAACATTTTTCTCAGAGGCTCTGCCCTGCCTCACATTTTGGCAGGTTTGAAACAAAATAATTGAATACTTTAAAATGAAATAATCTTGTTTCCTGAGCAAGAATAATGAAAATGTTGAATGTTAATTGTTTTGTTTTCTCTTTTCTAGGAAAGTATGTAATGGTGATGGGCTTGGTACACTCCTGCAGTCCAGAGCCTATTCTTCAAGCTGTGAAGATGACAGATCTTTCTGATAATCCTATACACAGGAGCATGTGGAGCTTTGAAGTGGAGGATTTGCACAGAAACATTTCTTAGATGCTGTGTATTTTTGTCAGCAGTCCAAAGGACCTGGAAACATAAATGTTTGCTTTTACACCACATGGACCTCAGCTCAAAGCATTAGACTCTCAGGAGTAGTTATAGCCTCATCTGGAGAATACTTTGATAGTCAAATAACTTAGTCCACTAACTAACAGTTTTAAGAGTTATGGACAGGAGACCAAACTTACCATTGGAGAAAATGGGTACAGCTCTATTGACTTCAGTGAATTTGACTGAGATTCAAGATTTAGAGATCTTTATGCTCATGATAACTCATAGGGAGATGGTTCATTCCCTGCTCCAGTAATGCTTTATGCCAACAGACTAAACTGCATTAATTTTCCAGATAATAGTGGGTATTTCAATACTAGCTCCATTATTATAGCTGTCATCTGTTAGAATGTAGGGCTAGGCAGTCATAGTACCATATTCTGTCCTCCATTTTGCATAACACTCTTGCTGCCAGTGTGAATTCTATACCTAGAATAAGGGCAAAATGTGGTCCATACTGTTTAGATTGTGTTTACGGTAAGGAAATGGTACTTTGGCTCCATGCTTTTTCTTTCAATAACATCCGTATCCAGTTTGCTTTGTTGACAAGACATATGTTTTTTCTAACTGTAACCATAGTTCGGTGCCTAAAACTCTGCGGGTACAGGATTCATCTCTACAATATTAAGAGTAGCATGGTAACAAAACCTATACTTCCAGTAAACTAAACAGAGATTTGACACAGACTCACAGGGAGTAGATTTATCCAGGTCCAAAAAGTAAGTACTCTCACCACATCACACAGTAAGATTACCTCAGCCTAATTATGCATCTTTATATTAAGTTTTCTTTCCCTGGAAAGACAGTGTTCCAGCATACACTCTCTCTTTAAAGTTACTGTTAAATGTATATTATTTTTACCTTTGTTACATCCTCTTCCTGTAAAGGACAAGTGTATGATACTGCTCTTTTGCCCCCAAAATATTGTATTTGGTCAAGTTTCAATGATAATTCATGCGTCCTAAATAAATACCACGTTATCCATATACTGTAGCTCTGTAGGTTGGGGGGAAAGAGACAAGTTCAACAGTATCAAATAACAATGTTAACTAACTTTGAGCCTATGAAAACAAGCTTTTTGCCTTACTATAAACCACAAACTGAATTTAAGATTAGGTATTGCACTTTGAACAGTGCTTTTTCTCACAATTCTATCTTGAAGTAAATATTGTCCCCATATTTACAGAGGCCCCTTTGAGGGTGTTGATGAAAGCGCTTCGATTAGAACTTTGGGACTGCATACTTCCATCCCTGAGTGACCATGTCACTTCAGAGACCTTTATAACTTTATAACTGAGGGGTTGTATTAAATGAGACCTTGTTGATTATATGTGGGATAAGCCAAGACGGGTGTACAGAATTTTGACAGTATGGGTTAATTTTTTTTTTTAATGTTGGGGAAAAAGTCCACTTGTAAAATGTAGCCTGCCAGCAAATTCTCCTCGGTGTCAACATTGTCAGACAACCATTTTTAGTTGTTTGGTAGCAGGTCCCTTCACGTCTTAATGGTTCTTATTCTAAGCACTTGAATTTCATCTCAGAATGAAGAAAAACAAAGTTCACCTTGACATGCATGGGAATTAGATTGTGTGTAAAAAGTTTTGATGAAAAGGGCCAAATTCAAACCTTGTGTAAGGGAGTGCAACTCTGCTGGCTTCAGTAGACTTGTACCACTTACATCGCAGCTAAATGTCGTGATGTCGTGGTCGGAGTCTGCTATAGACCACCAGACCAGGGGGATGAGGTGGACGAGGCTTTCTTCTGGCAACTAGCAGAAGTTGCTAGATCGCAGGCCCTGGTTCTCATGGGAGACTTTAATCACCCTGATATCTTCTGGGAGAGCAATACAGCGGTGCACAGACAATCCAGGAAGTTTTTGGAAAGTGTAGGGGACAATTTCCTGGTGCAAGTGCTGGAGGAACCAACTAGGGGCAGAGCTTTTCTTGACCTGCTGCTAACAAACAGGGAAGAATTAGTAGGGGAAGCAAAAGTGGATGGGAACCTGGGAGGCAGTGACCATGAGATGGTCGAGTTCAGGATCCTAACACAAGGAAGAAAGGAGAGCAGCAGAATACGGACCCTGGACTTCAGAAAAGCAGACTTTGACTCCCTCAGGGAACAGATGGGCAGGATCCCCTGGGAGAATAACATGAAGGGCAAAGGGGTCCAGGAGAGCTGGCTGTATTTTAAAGAATCCTTATTGCGATTGCAGGAACAAACCATCCCGATGTGTAGAAAGAATAGTAAATATGGCAGGCGACCAGCTTGGCTAAACAGTGAAATCCTTGCTGATATTAAATGCAAAAAAGAAGCTTACAAGAAGTGGAAGATTGGACAAATGACCAGGGAGGAGTATAAAAATATTGCTCAGGCATGCAGGAGTGAAATCAGGAATGCCAAATCACACTTGGAGTTGCAGCTAGCAAGAGATGTAAAGAGTAACAAGAAGAGTTTCTTCAGGTATGTTAGCAACAAGAAGAAAGTCAAGGAAAGTGTGGGCCCCTTACTGAATGAGGGAGGCAACCTAGTAACGGAGGATGTGGAAAAAGCTAATGTACTCAATGATTTTTTTGCCTCTGTCTTCACAAACAAGGTCAGCTCCCAGACTGCTGCACTGGGCAGCACAATATGGGGAGAAGGTGACCAGCCCTCTGTGGAGAAAGAAGTGGTTCGGGACTATTTAGAAAAACTGGACATGCACAAGTCCATGGGGCCGGATGCGCTGCATCCGAGGGTGCTAAAGGAGTTGGCGGATGAGATTGCAGAGCCATTAGCCATTATTTTTGAAAACTCATGGCGATCGGGGGGAGGTCCCGGATGACTGGAAAAAGGCTAATGTAGTGCCCATCTTTAAAAAAGGGAAGAAGGAGGATCCGGGGAACTACAGGCCAGTCAGCCTCACCTCAGTCCCTGGAAAAATCATGGAGCAGGTCCTCAAGGAATCAATTCTGATGCACTTAGAGGAGATGAAAGTGATCAGGAGCAGTCAGCATGGATTCACCAAGGGGAAGTCGTGCCTGACTAACCTAATTGCCTTCTATGATGAGATAACTGGCTCTGTGGATGAGGGGAAAGCAGTGGATGTGTTATTCCTTGACTTTAGCAAAGCTTTTGATACGGTCTCCCACAGTATTCTTGCTGCCAAGTTAAAGAAGTATGGGCTGGATGAATGGACTGTAAGGTGGATAGAAAGCTGGCTAGATCGTCGGGCTCAACGGGTAGTGATCAATGGCTCCATGTCTAGTTGGCAGCCAGTTTCAAGCGGAGTGCCCCAAGGGTCGGTCCTGGGGCCGGTTTTGTTTAATATCTTTATTAATGATCTGGAGAATGGTGTGGACTGCACTCTCAGCAAGTTTGCCGATGACACTAAACTAGGAGGCGTGGTAGATACACTAGAGGGTAGGGATCGGATACAGAGGGACCTAGACAAATTAGAGGATTGGGCCAAAAGAAACCTGATGAGGTTCAACAAGGACAAGTGCAGAGTCCTGCACCTAGGACGGAAGAATCCTATGCACTGCTACAGACTAGGGACCGAGTGGCTAGGTAGCAGTTCTGCAGAAAAGGACCTAGGGGTCACAGTGGACGAGAAGCTGGATATGAGTCAACAGTGTGCTCTTGTTGCCAAGAAGGCTAACAGCATTTTGGGCTGTATAAGTAGGGGCATTGCCAGCAGATCGAGGGACGTGATCGTTCCCCTTTATTCGACATTGGTGAGGCCTCATCTGGAGTACTGTGTCCAGTTTTGGGCCCCACACTACAAGAAGGATGTGGAAAAACTGGAAAGAGTCCAGCGGAGGGCAACAAAAATGATGAGGGGTCTGGAGCGCATGACTTATGAGGAGAGGCTGAGGGAACTGGGATTGTTTAGTCTCCAGAAGAGAAGAATGAGGGGGGATTTGATAGCAGCCTTCAACTACCTGAAGGGGGGTTCCAAAGAGGATGGAACTCGGCTGTTCTCAATGGTGGCAGATGACAGAACAAGGAGCAATGGTCTCAAGTTGCAGTGGGGGAGGTCTAGGTTGGATATTAGGAAACACTATTTCACTAGGAGGGTGGTGAAGCACTGGAATGCGTTACCTAGGGCGGTGGTGGAGTCTCCTTCCTTGGAGGTTTTTAAGGCCCGGCTTGACAAAGCCCTGGCTGGGATGATTTAGTTGGGGATTGGTCCTGCTTTGAGCAGGGGGTTGGACTACATGACCTCCTGAGGTCCCTTCCAAATGATTCTATGATTCTAAATATGGCTCAAAAACCTTTTACTCATAGTTGGCAAGTACATAATGCAACAGATGTGAGTAGTGCATGTTCATTAAATGTATATCTCAGAAGCAGTCTTTACTCAGTGTTGACTTAAATATTGCTGACCTGAATTTAATTAGCAATATCTCTATATCCTCCCCACCCTCCTGGTTCATGAGTCAGGGAAGCCCCAGGGATCCTGCTGACGCTCCGGCTGCTGCCAGGGGCAAGCTCTGGGGGTCCCGCTGCCACTCCTGCCACTGCCGGGGGGGAGGGGAAACCCGGGGGGTCAGCCACTGCTCCGGCTGCCCTGGGACCACTGCCGGGAGACACCATGCTGTGGCGGCTCCCACTATCCCCGGGACCACTGCTCAGGCAGTCCCCGGGGCCAGCTGCATCAGCCACTGCTTGGGCAGTCCCCAGGGCCAGCGACAGTCTCCACTACAGAAATCACAGAGCCCTACTTATGAGCAAGCTATGCAGCTCTAGTTTTTGGTTATTAACTATTCTATTCCTTAAAGTTGAGATTGGCCCAAACTAAATCACTAGATCTGACCACCCCAAGCTTTGGGATGTTTCAGAATCTACATGTGGATCTAAACTTTGTAGTTGGAGTTCTCTACTTCTATAAAAACTCAAAACTGGAGACAAACTCTTGGAAAATTTGTTTGGCCTAAAGCTATTACTATATTTGACAATCGTTGGCTTGTAAAAGTTGCCTAACTGTAGTGCAGCTTCAGAGTTTCTTTGTAACAAAAAGCAACTTACGAAGTATACTGCAAAGATTTTATGTGGATTTTTTTTATAATAGCATTAGATGGTTAGACCAGCCTGAGTCGTGAAACCAGGTTCTTTTCTGAGAACTCAAAACTGAAACAGGTTCCTAAAAAAGTTGAACTTGGAGCTTGTTAGCAAATGAACAGTTCTCTCTTTTCAGAGCTTTTGCCCTTGCTTCATATTTATAAAACAGCAACAACCTTGTGTTTTGCTCAGTGAATTGCTGTTGACTAGCCATGTGGACAGTATGTCCCAAGTTTTATGGTATTGTCTGTGGTACTTGTCTGTGGTTGTGTAACTTACTGTGCAACAATGCAAGTGGTGAAATAAGTTTCCTTCAAGTCTTTCCATTTCCCAGTCCACACAATGACTTTCTTTTTCTAGAGCCTAGGACTTGGAAGGGGAATGGGAGGTGTCCATGTGAATTTGAGTGCTTTGGGGTAAATAAAGGAAATAAGAAATGCTTACTATATGAGTAGAAATACTGAGCACTCAGTATTTTTCAAAGGGCTCGATACTCTACATCTCCCTGCAGGGAAGGCCAGTATTGGTATGTATGGTTGTTGAGGTACAATGAAGTGAACTGATGTAACTTACCCAAGCTGACACAGACTTTGTGATAGATATCAGTTAAGAACTCAGGAGTTCCTGGCTCTTGCATTGTGTTCAAACTGCACACCTGGTCTGACTAAACCACACACTTACTTGAGAGAGCATTGATATGTTCCTTACGCAGCCTTTCTGCTGTTTGCCATTTTACAGTCTCATTCGCATACTAAAATACTGTCTTTATGTGAAGCATAAATATTTCCACAATACCTTTGGCAAAAGCACTTCACAAATCAAGCTGTCCTAAAATTTTCACTAACAACTTACAACATCACTAGTCCCACTCTAGTTAGCAGCTTAGTGGCCAAGCATCATTTTTTAAATACCTAAAATCCTGAAACTGCAGGTTTGAATAGAAGCTGGGTCAAATCCCAGTGACTCTTAAGGGACATATTCTAGGAGGGCTTGTGACTTCTGAGAATCATAAAAGGTGGTCTGAGTGATGGTTTTTGCTCTCTCATAATCTGTGGCCATTGTATGTTTTACTCTTCTTGTCATGTTCTATAGATGAAATAGCAATGCACTGCTGGCATTTTAGCTGCAGAGCTCCCTAAGCCAGTCAACAGGAAGTGCAAGAATGTGTATTTTGCACCCTCCTCCCCAAAGGTTCTGCCAGTTTGATATATGAAAGACCTGATCTGACCCAGTTCAGGGAGCTGCTTTTCCATCACGATGGCATCCTGCCATCGTTTCTGGGGAAGCTATAAATTGCCCATTTAAAAATCAAGAAGAAAACTTACCGTGCGAAACAGTAACACAAGAATGCTTAAAAAATGATTGGCCTGTTTTGTTAACGGAGGAATGGATAAGAAAGATATTACAGGTTTCAGAGGTTGCTGCTGTTTTAACTCAACAGTATTTTTGTACAGATGTCCACCTTACAAGAAGCACTGCTCAATGGGTACTTATTGGCATCTCTGTTGGCAGTCTCTGCAGAGAATGGGCATGGAGAATGGAGTAGTCCCTCCAAGACACAGCTGGTACACAATTATGGGGCAAAGTGGGGAAACTTGTGCTGCTCTTGCCCATGCTGTACTTATTCTGTGGATAAAGCAAGAACGTCAGTTCAACCCTACATTCACCAGCAAATAA